GAGTGTTACTCAGCAGTTTTTGCACACACTAGAACAGTGTGGCGCTGTGACAGGTTGGCCTACTGGGGGAAAGGAACTCAAGTCACTGTCACGAGCGGGAAGAAACATTTCTATATTCATGGATTCCATGACAATACGACTTCTTAAAGAATTTGTTAAGTATTAATGGAAGACCTTTACTGGCACTCCAAACCAAATGTATTACTCATACGTCGGCCAGAAAATATTGAATCTGAATACTGAAGCTAAACGAGTGCACTGTTTTCGCAATTGTGTTCTCCGAAAAACTAAAAATTCTGGATGTTATAATCAAACAAGGAATTTGTGAATTCAGTTAATAGCATTACCTTTCTACAAGACCTCTTTAAAATATGTTTAAAACACCTTCAAATTAGGTACATCGGTTGAATAAAATTGAATAGTTAATACAGCCTGCATTTGAGTTGATATACACACTTATACTTTATGGTGATAATAGAAAGAAATAATATTTATTCCCCTTCCCCCTTATTTCACAAATAGATCTCAATGTAAAATTCTGACTTCTACACACAGAGATACCCAGCAGTTAGAGCCTATGGGTGTAGGTTGTAATTGTGTGACATAATGTGAACTATGCGATCAAAGGTTCTACATTAACCTGTATGACTGCTCAGATCTTCCATGGCCAATTCTCTGAAATCTGACTGAACCTAATAAATAATTTGTCTGAGAATTAAACCACTTCTGTTGAAAAACTGGTCTCTTACTATAATAATATAGATCCTATTATGCAATACACTGTGTATACCCTTTAATACTACACATAACATTATATATTGTGTTATATTATACAAAATCAAAAATATTTCTATGTAATGATAATATTAAGATAAGATAAGATTTCATTGTCCCCTGAGGGAAGTTTTTTATGGACACCCAGCACTCAGCACATTTAAATAGAATGCAAACAAAAAAAGAAGAAGAAAAGAAAAACATTGCACATTATTCTATTACAAAAAAAAATTGCACATCACTCTATTGCACATGTACAGTTTAACACATAACAACATGTAACATTTATAACACATAACAAAACATATTGAACTCAAGTGGGTTGTAAGAGTCAAAATTGTGTTTATGCTTGACATTTGTGTTGACAGCTTTAATGGATAGTGGAACAAAGGAATGTTTGTATCTGTTAGACTTACATTTGGGAACCCTAAAATGTTTGCCAGGAGGAAGAAGTTGATATTCAGAAGTGAGGATGTGGGAATGATCTGATATATTTTTTCCTGCCTGTTTGATTAGGGATTTTTCAAAGATTGTCTGCAGGGAGGGGTGCTGTTTCACTCCCATGACTGTCAAAGCTGTTTGGATGAGACGGGTAATTTGCGATTTTAAACGAACTGATAGATTACCAAACCACTGTATTACCATATCGGATAATACTCTCGATTACAGTATGGTAAAAGAGTAGCATTACTTCCTGTCAAACCCCAAACACTCTTAGTCTTCGCAGGAAATATAAGCGCTGCTGAACTTTGGAGCAAACACGCTCAACATGAGCAGTTCAGCACACGTTACTGTCTATGTGTACTCCTCTAAGTATTAACCAGACATGAATACACCTGAGTGATAAATTCATTGTGGATGACTACGTTGTGGATGACTGACCACAACACCTCAGTGGGTTCAGTCTATCACTACAAGAGACTGACCACACTTTCAGGAATCAATCTTTGGTCTTCTGCAAATCAGGGGCTCACTGCTGGACACTGGAATAATTTTCAATATTTTCAGGTATGTTGGGATTTTTGTGTACAGGATTAAGCCAAGCTCAATCAATTCCACTGCCTTTGCATGTAACACAGTTTTTAAACATCTAATGATATTCTCTTTTTAAAATACGTTTTGCAGTTATGCTGCTTTTTGACTATTACTTTAATCATTAAATCAATTTTACCTCTACATTAAAACTTTGTGTTGATTGAACCCTTAGCTGACATTTTTCTTCTTTGGAAAAATTTGAAAATCTTTTGTACTTTGTAAGAATTTTAAATTACTTTAAATCCTTACAGCGATTTCTTTGTCAAAAGAAATTATATTTCTGAAGAGGTGTAGTTGCTTTGTAAACATGTAATCTCAATTGTACCTGTAAGCTTTTGCATGTGGGAACAAGAAGTTTTTGTACAGCAGTAAACCACTGTGATAACTACGGGGGCACACTGATTTATATCATTACAGAAACCTCCTCTCTTTCTGCTAATGATTAATTTTATTAAAACTTTTATAAAAAGTAACTTACATTTTCACCCATTTATACAGTTGGAGCAAACTGTATGATCGCTACATGAAATATCAGATATCAAATTTAACAAATTAAATTTGATTTAAAAAAGATAAACTAATGTTCTGTATCACCACGAAATATCAATATACTTATATGACCCTGTGAAATTTTGTACAGATGATTTATTTGATTTCCCATTGATTTCTGTTTAGTGCATAGAGTATTTAATGTTAGCTCTAAAGTTAGACCTACCCCCGTGTGAAATGTTACATCATCCGGATTTACCGATTGGGTTTTTTTCCTTTCATCTTCTGTTTCCGCTCTTGAACAGTGTTTTCATCATTATAATCCTTATGCTGATTGTTCGTGGAAATAAGAGCAGTCTACCTGAAATTGGTCTGTTCTTGTACATTTGAAAGACACAAAGGTGTACAAGTGATTCAGGACAGATCTGTTATGGCTATTAGCTTTCAACACTGAGTAGCTGAGCTGCTGTGTAACCAGACGATAGTTCAGGTTTGGGGTGAACACTTGGTTGGCCCTCTAATATCTTAGAAATCATTCCAATGAATGGGTTTCAGTGTATCCCTTCTGGCTCTTGATAACATCTCTAATGGCCTGATATACCTTCTTTAAAGGGGAACTGCAACACCATTTTTTATATTTTAGAAAGAAAGATTCTGCATTACTGAGTGCATTTCAAACCACTGCCATAGGCTAGTAGCTATTGTTAAGTCTAGTGGAAATCCACTAGGATGAGAGTCTTTTGAACCATTAATTTTCCTCTGGAAGCCCACAAACATCCCGTAATGTGGGCAACGAAACAGGAGGTTTCCACTATCACAGAGGACACAGTCCACACCTTCAACTTTCAGTGACCGTGACTTGAGCTCTGGTATTAAAACAGGAAGGAAGTTTTTTGTCTGCACTTCCTTTTTCTGTTTCTTCAATGGTCCCTCCTACACTAGCAAGCTCCAGCTATTTCACAGTAACTCTTAGATTTGGGAAATGATCACAAGGAGACTTATTTTAACAGTAAGACAAGGCACTCCGAATAGCAAAGAAGAGATCTAATGACGTTGTTCAACAGAGGTTCAGGAAGAGGTCAAATTCCAATCATGCTCTTCCACTCTGTTTGCTCCCCTCCCTCCACCCCCAACTTCATTCTTGCAGCTGCCTCCCTGTTCATTCCCTGTAAGTGAGTGGGATTGTGAAAGTATTGATCTCTGACCACCCCTGTCATTTCCTCAGCCAGGTGAGTCGATACCAAAGTATGAAGTAAGCTATCTGTTTATATTTGTCAGCTTCTTTTGCCATTATGAGAATCTATATGCTCCCAGCTCAGTGATCTCTGTAAAGAGCTTGCTGATTCAATATAAAACACTTAGGAGAATGAGCAAATTGTGTTGTGCTTGTCAGAAACACAAGCACGATTCTCCGATTTCTCTGGTTTTACCATGCCAATACCCAGCTCACCTTCCGGAGTCTTCTCATCAGGATTGTTTGTCTGTGGTGCCAACATGCTGGAACCATGTGTGTCCACTGCTCTGTCTTGGTCTGGCTGGGTCTTGTCTTTGCTTCTCTCCTCTCTCCTTCATTATTGTCTCTTGCATTTCCCCACCCTGGGCTGCATTTTTCTGTGATCATGTTCCTAAGTGATGACTGTATTCTTGATCACTGTGATACAGCCCAGTACAAAAACCTTCCTGACACCATATTTCCCAATGTAAAACATTTAGTCTTCGAAATATTTAAAATATGAGTCCTTGTCCTTTTGAAGATCTTGGTTGAGTGTTTCCTCAGATGTTTTTGGTGGGCGGTATATCACTGTGAGAGAGTACTACAACATACAGCTACTGTAACTGTGCGGCTCCTACAACGCAAGATTTCCAGTCAATGGAGCTTGTCTGCAAGTCACAAAAAATACTGAGCTGTAGAAGCCCCAGACACTGTCCCTGTCACTGTGTGAAGAAAAGACTGCTGAAATCATGACAGCTCCTCTGGCCCTGGGTCTCCTGCTCTCTCTGGCTGCCTTTCCTTGTATGTCATTTCGTTTAGCTATGTTTTAATTGGATAAAGATAGTTTCTCTTGCTCTCAGTGGTGCGCTTCATTTGGAAAATTGAAGTTAAAGATCTTAGAACCAAACAAGACCATACAGACAAACCAGACAGAAATGAAAACGAAGATGTATAATGTCAAGGGTTTGTTTCTGTTTTATCATTTGTCTACTAAACGACTAAGAGTGACTTGTTTCAGTGCTGCTTTAATGTAAATAAATGAAATTTCAACAGTCTTATTAACATTTACACAATACCTCCCCTTCTTATTTCAAATCCGCAATGTAAATATTTAATAGAGTAATACAATTTATCCCTGTACCCCTTATAGGACATCAAGAATGAGCTTACAATGAAGACAGGTGCAGTGTTTTTGAATGAGATTATATCACGGTGATACCTGGGTGGGGGGACACAGTGATTCACAGTAGCACAAAAACCTCTGAGCTCAGTCTGTTTAACTGCAATGCAAACAGTGAAGGACAAAGAAAGTTTATGTTGCAACAAGAGTATAAAATGATTCGTTTCCGCCCTTTATTTCTTCAGAATTGACTGTTGACTTATATACAGCATAATTATAATAGAAAAGTTACTGGAGGTAGACAAATTATTTAGAATTGCATATAAAATTGATAATCAGCTGCACTAAAACAACATTTTAGACACCAGAAGCAGGCTCCACTGACAAGACATAGTGTTTCTTTTCAGCATGGATCAAGCCTTTATTTGTTTCTAAAATACAATTGGCATTCTGGACCGAACACTGATTGAAACGAGGAGCTGCAGGCTGGCAGATCACACACAGGATTCTTTGGTCTGGGGGCTTTCGACATTACCTGGTGCCTCTGTCTCACGGAACTGTGTTTCCTATTTAAACCCAGCAGGAGCTGCTGAGCTGAAGAAGCCCCAGGCGCTGCCCCTGTCACTGTGTGAAGAACAGACTGCACTCTGCTGCTGGAATCATGACAGCTCCTCCAACCCTGGGTCTCCTGCTCTCTCTGGCTGCCTTGACTTGTACTTTATTTCATTAGAGCAGTGCAGTTATATTTTAATTAGTATTAGACTGTTTGGCTTGTTCACAGTGGTGCACTGCAATTGGAAAATTGAAAATAACCATCTTAGAATCAAGCCTGACCACAGCAACGAAAACGGAGATGTAAAACTTTGAGTTTTGTTTCTGTTTTTCCATTTGGGATTTTTTTTTCCCAGGGCAACACTTTTTCAATGGTAAACTCATGTAACTACAAAAACGTTTCAACTATGCAATGTGGCACCTGTCTGTTACTATATTCAGTATTTCTTTACATTTCAGGATTTTCTGTGTTTTTTGTTTTCTGTGTCTACTACACCACTCGGAGTGACTAATTTCGCCTTCCTTGCAGATGTTCAGTCCAGTGTCGAGCTCATGCAGTCTGAATCTACAGAGGTCACACCAGGATAGTCTCCCTCATTAAAATCTGCCACTGCTGGGATACGTGTTGATGACTCTGATAGGTTTCCCCAAAAATCCTGGACAGAGTGGACAGTTTGGACAATTTGGATTTGCTCCTCCTTCTGCTGTATCTGCACCTCAGATGATAAAGGATAATTCACAGCCTTCGACAGACAGCGGGATGTTCCCTCTGGATATGAGCAGCCTGAGAGCTGAAGACACTCATGTTTATTACGAAGGGAGAGACGCAGAGCAGCAGGTGATTTCTAACATGAGGAAAATATCTAGAGAGCGGGCACAGGATGGTTTTGTTCCCCAACAACATCTGTACTGAAAACTAGAAGTTCTTTGACAGATTTCAAGAATAATGAGCAGGTAAATGATTTCTTTCAATCCATCATTTTAGATTTGGCAGTTCGATTCTCATGCAATTTAGTCATATAAGTAACATTAGAAAGATATTAATGTGTTAAGAAACAGCTGTACATTTTCTCAATCTGTAGGGCAGGTACAGTCAGCCACACCTATATAAGACAGGGACAGACAACCTTGACACTTTTATTCCTGTACATTACTGAACCTTCCAGTAAGTTATTTATTAATTTAAGGTCACTTATTAAGGATTCGTTTATTAAGGATTCTTGAATACAACACCTAATCAATAAAAAGTGCTTTACAAATTTAAATTACAATATACACTGACAGTTTACAACTATCTTCCTTTGCCTTGTGCCATGTTTTACTATAACTCCCAATACATGACACGCATAGGAAGGTTTTTGTCAGGGAGCATATCAATGTGATTATTATAGTAGTTATGGTTACCACAGTGTAACAGTCCACTACAACAACCTCATTATGCTGTTACTGTGACATCTCCGGGCTGTATGACACTTCACTCAGTTTTCATCAATCTTTGATGGAAGATCATTCTGCTTGATTATGGAGTTTAACAGTTGTGTTGGTGTGTAATTCTGAAGTACTTACACTACTTGAGCCTCGCAGGAAGGTTTTTGTCAGGGAGTGTATCACTGTGATTATGGTAGTGGTTATAGCACCACAGTGCAACAGTCCATTACAAAAACCTCTTCTTGCTGTTTCTACAACTCTCCAGGACTGATACTTCACTGTTTTCACCAGAGGAAGAGGCAGTAAACTTTGATGAAAAATTATTCTGTTTAATTGTATTAAACATATGTCTGGGACTGGTGTCCCTTCCAGGGGGTATCCTGCCTTTCGCCCATTGCAGGCCGGGATAGGCTCCAGCTCCCCAGCAACCCAGTACTGGATCTAGCTGTTAGGAAATGGATGTTTGGATGGCAGATGAGAGTGTGATTCTCAAAGACTTACAGTACATGACTGTCATAGGAAGGTTTTGGTCAGGGACTACAGTATATCATCGTGATACCACAGTCTAACAATCCATTACAGAACCCTTACATGATAAGGAGTGTATGATTGTGATCCTAGAGACTCACACACAGTCTAAATCTTTAACATGTCTCTTTAATCCCCAACTCCTTATGATTCGGGGAAAATGTTTAAATAACAATAGGTAAGCTTATATTGGCTTTACTGAGCTAAAAAAAACAGTGAATGGAATTGTGCCCTGATACTCAACTACACTCTGCACATTGCATAGAGAGTTCAGAGATTTCAATCACCTCGTGAGAAGAAGGTTTGAAATGTGTTTTAGATGTCCACATTCCTTCAGTCTGATTTGTCTATCCTCCTGGAAATACAGGTATAACTTATTCCAGTATATTGGAAATTCATACTGTTGTGATGCAATTCAGCAATTCAGCATGTTTTCACAGAACTAACACAACATCTATGACACTTCACTCTGCTTTCATCAAGGTACGAGGCAACACATTTTGATGAAAGTTCTTTTAGCTTGATTACAAAGTTTAACAGATGTGTGGGTGTGTAATTCAGACAAACTTACAATACATGAGCCTCTTGTGAATGTTTTTAGCAGGGAGTGCATCAAGGTAATTATTGTAATGGTTGTTACCTACAGTGTAACACTCCATTACATAAACCTCTTAGAATAAGGAACGTACTGAACAACCCTTTGTGTTCACGTTACATCAATACAGTTCAGTATGTTCTCACTGTTGTAAATAATGTGGAGAATGAATGTAGACTACAACAGCCTCATGTGAAAGTTTTTGTCTGGGAGTGTATCACTGTGATTATTGTACTGGTGATGTTTGTTATCCACAGTGTAACAGCCCATTACGAAAACTTCTCATGATGAGGAGTCTCACACACTGTCGAACAGTTATATATTCATGTTACAGCAATACAATTCAGTCTTTTTTCGCTGTAATAAATGACTTGAAGGATTAACTTGTAGTACATTTACCTTATAAGAAGGTTTCTGTCAGGCAGTGCATCAGGATATATTTGTACTAGTGGTGCTTGTTACTCAAAGTGCATCAATCTGTTACGAAAACATGATAAATAATGTGTGTCTCTGGACCAGAGACTCACACACAGTTTAACACGTTCACATTGATTCAAAACAATCCAGCCTGTTCTCACTGAATGACAGTATATGGTGTAGAATATATGTAGGTTACATCAGCCACATGTGAAAGTTTTTGTCCGGGGGTGTATCACCGTGATTATTGTACTAGCAGTGCTTGTTACCCACTGTGTAACAATCCATTACAAAAACCTCTCATGATGAGGAGTGTATAACTCCGAGCCCAGAGACTCACACTCTGTCTAACAGTTACATATTCATGTAACAGCAATAAAATTCTGTCTGTGTTCCCTGTAATAAATGACTTGAAGGATTAACTTGTAGTACATTTACCTCATAAGAAGGTATTTGTGAGGCAGTGCATCAGGGTATTTTTGTACCAGTGGTGCTTGTTACTCGACGTGCATCAATCTGTTGCAAATCAATGTGTGTTGCATAATCAATGTGTGTCTCTGGACCCAGAGACTCACACACAATTTAACAGTTACTCGTTCACATTGATTGAAACAATTCAGTCTGTTCTCACTGTATTATAAGATGTGATGAAAGATAAATGTACACTACATCAGCCTCATGGGGAAGTTTTTGGCACTGTGAATATTGTAATAGTTGTTACCCACAGTGTAGCATTCTATTACATAACCTCTCATAATAAGGACAGGACAGTTTGGACAGTTTTGTGTTCCCGTTACTTCAATACGGTTCAGTCTGTTCTCAGTGTAGGAAGATAAGATTTTGTTGTCCCCTGAGGGAATTTTTTATGGACACACAGCACTCCTGTACATTTAAATTGAATGCAAACAAACAAAAAAAGAAGAAGAAAAGAAAAACATTGCACATTATTCTATTACAAAAAAAATAGAAAAAATTGCACATCACTCTATTGCACATGTACAGTATAACACATAACAACATGTAACATTTATAACACATCACAAAACATATTGCACTCAAGTGGTTTTTAAGAGTCAAAATTGTGTTTATCCTTGACATTTGCGTTGGCCGCTTTATTAGATAGTGGAACAAAGGAATGTTTGTATCTGTTTGACTCACGTTTGGGAACCCTAAAATGTTTGCCAGGAGGAAGAAGTTGATATTCAGAAGTGAGGATGTGGGAATGATCTGATATAATTTTTTCTGCCTGTTTGATTATGGATTTTTCAAAGATTGTCTGCAGGGAGGGGTGCTGTTTCACTCCCATGACTTTCAAAGCTGTTTGGATGAGGTGGGTAATTTGCGATTTTAAATGAACTGATAGATTACCTGTCACGACCACCAGCCAGCAGAGATCAACGCGTAAGCGAGCTAATCAGTACCAGCAGCGGGTTACTATTAACAAGTGCCGCCGCACGAGTTGACACACCTGCAATTGCTCTACAGTGCGGCACGCCGGGTTATTTATACTATTCTAACCTACTTCCCATTGCTCTGTCTGGCGTTTCTCACCCTTTTGCCTTACTGGAATTCTGTCGGCACCTTTTGCCTTCAGACTTCGGATCTCGTCTTGCCCCTTGGATCGTTTGCTATCTGTGTCTATTTCGGATTTGACCCTGCAGCTCTCATTTCGACCACGATTCTGTCTCGCATTTTGGATTGTTTGCCACTAGTGCCTTTACCGGATCTTGACCTACCTTACGCCTTCGGACTACGACTCAGCTCCTGGTTTTGCTCTGTTCGCTTACTTACCTCCCGACGACTCCTGCATCTGCATCGGCTCCTTTTCACCTCTACAGAGCAGCGTTACATTACCAAACTACATTGAAATACCATAGCTGATAATACTCTCGATTACAGTATGGTAAAAGAGTAGCATTACTTCCTGTCAAACCCCAAACACTCTTAGTCTTCTCAGGAAATATAAGCCCTGCTGAACTTTGGAGCAAACACTCTCAACATGAGTAGTCCAGCACAGGTTACTGTCTATGTGTACTTATATGAATCAACCTGAGTGATAGGTTCGTTGTGGATTACTACATGTGAGTGATCACCAACTGCTCTGGGATCAAAAACTATTTATTTTGTTTTTTTAACATTCAGAATTAAACAATTGTTGTCACACCATTGCACAAGCCTTTGGATTTCTGACATGTACACAGATGAGCTGCTACCTCTATGCATTAAGCCAAGCACAGCTGTATCATCTGAGAATTTGAAAATGAAGTTGCTCTGACTACTGCTTGTACAATCACTTGTATAAAGTGTGAACAGAACTGGAGAGCTCACACATCCCTGAGGGCCACCTGTGCTAATAGATCCTGGTTTCCAGAGTATTATTCCATGCTGTCCTGGGTAATTGGTGCCCTGCAACTGTCCTGCAATGGAGTATTGTCCCACCTCTCACCTGTATCTACCCAGACTGGATAGGAAAGGGGTAGTAAAGAAGTAATTAAAATAATGATTTAATCAAAATATAAGTGGGTATTATATAAGGCAAATACCCTCAACTTTTAAGCTTATATATAAAATGTCACGATCGTAAGCCCCTCCTCTTTAGGGTGCTCCAGACCTTTCTTGTGAGTACTGATTTTCCCTGCACCTGATCCTGTTCCAGCCCTTCCCTTTAAAAGCCAGACGCTCCCACCATTCCAGGCTCAACTTTGGAAGATGGATGTCCGGAAGCTTGCCTACCAGCGAGTCCAGGAGGGGCCCAATGGCATAGGTTTCACAAGGGCGTCCTGACCATTTGGGTCTGGTGCTAGGAGCGCCTGGCCCCATTACCCTTTTGATTCCCTCGACCCTTCGCTGGATCCTGCTCCGGTTTTTAACTTTGTCTTGTCTTCGTCAAGCATGGACCACCCGACTCTGAACGTTTGCATTCCAATGGATTTTCTAACAGAACCCCTTTGGACTTGTTTGCTTTGTAACACCTGCCCCCATCCCCCGAGCACCAGTTCACACTGGACACACCTCCCTGTTCTTCTTCCAGCCTCGATCCTAGTCTTTTTCCCCGTGTTTGTCTCACTCCCCTCTGGATTTTGCATTCTGCATAGGATCCTGAAAAACGCTTCGTGACAATGCAATAGCGTTTGCTGAAGCTGACTGACAAGTTATGCAGTTAACAAGGAAAAATACTGTCATTTGAATAATGCACTACAAGGGTCTGAAATGTTGTGTTTTTCTAAATAGAAATATCATGGCAGTTCCATCATTATCAGATGGAGTGACATGGCATTTTTGTATTGGTATATAACACGGTGTAGGGGGTCACACGATAGTTTACGTCCCTACTAAAACCTAAACTGAGATCAGAGCAACTGAAAATTGCACTGAGACCATAAAAATCATTGTGCTTTTCCTCCACGATGAAGGACTTGATGAAGTCAAAAATAAATATAGGG